AATCAGAGCTAGATAAGATTTTAACAACTCTGAGCTATTAGTTGAGTTCTCCCCAAGCGAGCTCGATGGGCCGAATGGCCTCCTCTCGTTTGTATAGTTCTTATGTTCTTATGTAGAGTGAGATTTCACACTGAACTATTTTAATGGAGGGTTAGGGGAACTTGAGATGAAACCTGTCAGAAAAAAAACTTCAGATTATGTGATGAGATTCATTAATATTACCTGTGTTTTTGTATACAAAGCATTATATAATAATATACTATATTATATATGAAATTACTGCAGAATATACCCCCCCACTACTATCTCAACATTGTAGGGGACATGTCCCCCCCCCCCCCCACTAAATCTACGGCTATGTCTGTATGTAAATCAGAAAACAATGTTTATTAACCCTCTGATGCATGAATTATGAAATCCTAACTAATAGCGGAAATGCAATTCCACCATAGAAAGCATTGCATTTGGGAGAAAATGACGTAAACTGCTGTCCACTGTAGTGACCGCTATGCACCAGAGGGTTAATTCATAAAATGAAAACTATGTCAGATAAACATTTTTGCTCAAATGTGCCACATTTTGCTATGATGTGTCACAGCACACATTTCTGTTTCTTTACAGGAAAGACGACAATGGCAGACTTAGTGAAAGCTACCAAATCGATTTCCAAAGCTGAGGATTTCAGAGATGACACCAAACTGATAATGCAGCCATATGCTAACTGGGAGGAGTACTTGGTACCTGCCCCAGTCTCCATAGCCATTCTGGGGGAGCTGGTCTGTATCTCCTCTAATGTAGATTTCTCCATCAACAAAAGCCATCCTAAAGGTGGCTTTCAGTTCATCAAGTACCCAGACTCATTCCGAGCCTGTCTTATGCAAGTGGCTAATGCTGGATGGGCGGCATTCAATACGGCTCACACGAACATGGACCAGATCCGTCTCCACACTGCCAACGTGCCAGCTTACATCAAGACAACAGTGAATATATTAGTACAGGACAATGATGAGCTGATCCAAACCGTCCTCCCTGACCAACTGGAGAACATAGCTACTATATCAGACGACTGTGTACAACTGGCTGATCAAACAGAGAAAAAGTTCATGTTTGTAATCAGTCTGATCCAAGAACTTTTAGAAGCTTCTATAAGTGCAAAGAAGGTATATGGTGATGAACTGGAAGAAGTCAAGGATAAAATTGTGGAGAACAAAATGAAGAAGGAGGATTCAGAAAGAAGGAAGGAAAGGGCTCAGAAAAGACTTGAGGACATGAATAAGCAGCTAGAAGAGGCACAGAAGAGTTTTGATACAGCAATGGATTCAATGCCATCTGGGTGGGAAGTGCTTGGGATGAACTTAGCAGAGGGACTCACAGAAAGAGTATTCGGTATTATGTCAAATGTGGCAAGTCAGATGGCAAAGGAAGTGAAAAATACAGTAACAGACAGTGATGCCGATGTTGCTATGAGTAACATACTTTCGAAAGCAGGGCAGATTCTGAAACATGCTGAAACATTGAACAGCTTTATTGACAAACAGCAAATTAAATGGTCTGAGATATACGATCAAAAGAAAGACAAAACAAAGACAACATACGTGGGGGAACAATATAATCAGATAAAAACCTCAGTGGAGAGTGAGAAAGGCTGTAAAGCCAAAGAGGCTGCACTCAGCATCTGCACAGACGCCATTAAGCTGTGCTCTGAGCTCACAGAGATCGCACCTGACGGGAAATGTGAAGATGACAAGACAAAAGACATGACTGGAAGAATGCAGGAGCTGTTGAAACGGTGTCAGACATTTGACTCTCAGAACAAAGCCTTCACAAACACTCCAGTTTTTACTCTTGAACCCCCACAGCAAGCTAAGGAAAGTGGCAAAAAACGGGCAGGTGAGATGGCGGCGGAGAATGCCCGTCTCCGCATAGAGCAGAGTCGAGCTCAGGTGCAAATGATGACACAGAATCAAAAAGAGAATTTGGACAACCTGGAGAAAAATCAGAAGGAGCTGACAGACATTTTAATCACATTGCAAAGATGTGAAGTTAAAGAGATTGACTTCAACACCACCATTAAAATGCTGGTCAAGGGTCTAGATGCCATGGGAAGAGTGAAAGAGCAGTGGGAGAAGATGGTACGCTTCTTTCAGATGATCTCAAACATCATTAAGACCTGCCTTAGTAGATCTCTGACTGATTTTGTCAAACAGTCTCAGAAGGCATCTCAGAAACATCTGTCATATAACTCAAAAAAGTTCATGATAGACCTGATCTACCAGCAGGCCTTTTACGCATCGAATGTAGCCAGTTTGGTTAACATGATCTCAGGGACCTACGTTGAGGTTTCTAACGAACACCTGATGGACCGGATCAGCAGTCTGGGCAAACTCATGGCTCTGGATACCAGCAACCCAGATTTTGAAAGTGAACGCAGGAAATTACAAGATGCCTGCAAAGAAGCTCAAGAAGCAATAAGAGATCTTGTGAAGAAGAACAACAACAAATTTGATCAGAAGACAAAAGAGAGACTGGAGAAAATCGAAAGTGAGCTAAAGCCAATGTTACCCCCAGTGTCTGAGGAGAAAATGAAAGAGATGAAAGAAATAACAGAATCTGCATTTAAAGAAATGAGTCGGGAGGATGAAGATCAGTTTGCATGAAGTTTCTGCTAAAACATGAATGAATCTTAGAATAAAAATGGCACCAGAGCATACATTTGAATAACAGAAATACACAAGCATGCACACATATGTACATATGGTCCTCGATTTCCAATGGGGTTCTGTTCTTATGGACCCATTACAAGTGGAAAATATCATAAGTCAAATATGAATATGATGTGATAAGTAAATAACTACTGTCACTAAACAAGTAAATACATAACTACTATAACCAAGTACCAGTAATTGGAAAGTAAATAAATGAATACTGGTTTCTTTGGTTAAATACAGAAACAAACCTGCATAATATATTGATAAACACTGTATGAGATGTTTACCCTACAGAGACTGGAAGCGTGGCTGCCTGGATGCTGTCATCTCGAACATCAGAAGAAAGTATCGTAAGGTTTATCACTCACCAGGGAACAGAGCAAAATTCAAAGTTGGCTACTGAATGTGCAATTCGACTATCACACTGTAAAGGTGAAATATCATAAGCTGAACCATTGTAAAGCGAGGAGCATCTGCACACATAACATTAATGCTAGCAATGGTGCATCTGCTTTTGTTTTAATCGCACGCTCTTAACTCATAGCATCTGCATTATTTAGGTAACTTTTTCTTTTACTGCTTCTAAATTTGCTGCTTTGTGAAGTATTATGATCGAAGTCTCTAGGGATTCGAACAAAACAGTCGACGAGTTACAGGGTTTAAAATGTGGAGAAATCCTTTTTCTAGTTAAAATGGCAGGTTTGAAGACATCCTGAGTCTGTGACACCAAGCAAGTTCAGCACAGCTTCTTAAGCCCAGGGGTGGAGATCCGCTTACAGGAGAGACCTGGAGTCAGACTGACCTCACTGTCGAAGATCAAGGAAGAAGAAGACGACGACCCAGGGGTCTCACCAAAGATCATGTCCATCTCACAGCTCTGGGGTCGTGTTTGTTTGCATGTTTTCCCTCAGCTCTGCTGGCTGAACTCTGTAACCATACTGCACTGGAAAGTTAATGTTTTGTTTTAGGCCTCAGGCAAGAAGATGCTGTTGCATTCTGGGATTTTTATTAGGTCTTAGGCAAGAATATATTGTTACATTTGGGGATGTGCGGTCAGCGCTTTGGCCTGGGCTTCCAGCCAGAGTGTGTTGCTGTTCTGGTAAAACTCGTGAGAGGATCATGCTGGAGAAAACATGCTGTGGAACACTCTGACCTGGCACCAGTTGAGGAACTGTCATAGTGGCAAAGGGGGGTTGCATCTGGTAGCTGACTAAGGCAAAGTCGGGGATTTGTGAGGGAAGGCTGTCATGGTAAACGGTGATCAGCAGCTGGGGGGGAGAATCCTGCTATCATCCTGTTTGTGATAGATGCTGTTAATATTATGAAGCACTTAATGTCATTACAGGATATCACAGGTACAGCTGCATAATCACAGTCAGTACAAACAACACGCAACAACAGAACTACAGGTAATTAATCAATCATGTAATCATTATTTATGCACTTAGTAAGCGAGACTGGATGTCATAAGAGGAAATTCAAGATTGCACATCTTATATGGTGACCAATGATGTTGAAGAAGATCTTGTGGGGCGGAGCTTTTGAAAGTATATAAGGGGGCACTTTTCTTTTTGGGGCTGTGCAAGCACCCGGCTTATGCGGAGCACTCTGTCACGCTTACTAGCATCATCTAACTAATAAAGAAGATTTTACCTCTGCAGCCCTGGGTTTTGGACTTAGTTCTTCTCGTTTGGATTGAAGGCACAGAGGGTCACTCACAGTTAATTTTTTTTCTTTCACAGAATGTATTTACTTTTCTTTCCACCACAGAGATTAATAATGCAGTGGGCAGCACATAGTGACATCAAAAGGTCAACAGTGCAGATAAGGCAGGGGTGCGAGTGGGAGGACTGAAGCTCACACTGCGAGGGTCTAGCCAGCACAGTTTGGCACTGCACACAAGAAAGTAATACAGACGTCACTACTGTACACAGTATCGGAGGTATCGGAGGTCTGTAGCTATTGGCTCTGCAGATACTTGGTGACTTCTGCACACTGTGAGCCTCAGCTTGCGTTGTCCCCGCTCTGTGATTTTACGTGGCCTACCACTTCGTGGCTGAGTTGCTGTTGTCCCCAGTTGCTTCCACTTTCTTATAGTACCACTAACAGTTGACCGTGAAATATTTAGTTGCAAGGACATTTCACGAATGGACTTCTTGCACAGGTGGCATCCTATCATGGTACCACGTTTGAATTCACTGAGCTCCCGAGAGTGATCCATTCTTTCGCAAATGTTTTGTAGAAGCAGTCTGCATGCCCAGGTGATTGATTTTATACACCTGTGGCTATGGAAGTGATTGGAACACCTGAATTCAATGGTTTGGAGAGGTGTCCCAATACTTTTGGTCATATAGTGTATCTCTGATGGAAAATCAGATCGGTCTGATATTACACTGAATTATTGATCATGTTGTGCACTGCTCCACAGGACATCTGGTGGGGGCAGGTCCCACGGCCCCCGTGAACAGAAGTGCCTGCTGTGTATTTATGTAGGACTTTCTATAGATCAGACAAAAAATAGCTCTGCAACTTTCAGTCTATCCTGAGCAATAATATTACTATAACTTAAACTGAAAGTAAAATATATAAAACCTAGGGCTGGGAATCAATTTTTAAAAATAACCTTAAAAATCACATAGTTTTCTGTGATTAATCACGATTTTTAAACTGAGTTTGACTTAAATTACACAACTTCATTGTCTACCCTGTCAATTTTGCCACCCGGGTGGTCAATCAGTTTTGTTATGTTAGCATTTATTTCTATAATAATAAAGTATTTCAACAAATTAGAGGTAAGACAAATGAGCACCAGGTGTATCGTGTTACAGCCACACCAGGGAGGAGACAGGAGGGTCATGCAGACATGGCGGGCAGGAGATCACACAGCTACGGAGGCTCTGAAGGGACCTGTGCAAAAACAATAACATTCTCACACTTCAGTAAGTCGTGCGCACCCAAAATTAGCCTTAACCCTAACCATAAGTAACCAAACAAAATATGAGTCTTTTCACATGTATTCACAGATCTTTGTGGGGACCTGACTAATGGTCCCCACAACATCAAAAAAACTGTTTTTTTATCACATTGTGGGGGCCCTTTGGTGATATATTAAGTGATACATCAAATGGCCACCAGGTGGCACATGCTGCCCTTGTTTATTTGCTCGGTTGCTATGGAAGCGTGTCCAGCATCAGACGCAGACATACACAGCGGTCCATTGACAATACTGCCAGTAAAATCCGACAGCGCACGAAGACCTGAACCGAATGTGCTAAGGCTGTGGGTAATAACCAGGATCACTTTACACCGGTACCCTTAATGCATGAACACTTACTGGGAATGAACAGATGGGTGGTTTCCAGTAAAAAGAAATAATAAAATACTGATTTACTGCTGTGCACCAAAGGGTCCTAGAGAGGGAAACAGATCTGAGGACATGTAGATCTAGTGGTGAAACATTTATAGACTGATTTGCGCAAATTTAGAACACTATGGGTTACCACGCGAGGTTTTAGTCTCTGTATATCTGTGGGGCTTGCATGTTCTCCCATGTCGCTGTGGGGTTTCCTCCGGGTTCTCCGGTTTCCCCCCACAGTCCAAAAAGGACTCTAAGGTTAATTGCAGTTACCAATTTGCCCATAGGTGTGCATGTGTGAGTGAATGGTGTGTGTGTGTGTGTGTGTGTGTGTGTGGTGTGAGTGTGTCCTGCGATGGGTTGGTGCCCTGTTCTGGGTTGTTCCCTGCCTTGCACCAATAGCTTCTGGGATAGGCTCCAGACACCTGCAACCCCTGAGTATGGGAAATGGATGGATGGACAGTGAAGAGTGTAGATTTAACAAAATCTAGAAAAAAATAGTTATTTTTAAAGCTGTAGGCTACTGTTAAGGATATTTTCTTATTTAGTTCAACAGAATAGAGCCCTGAGAACACAAGTAAAGTCGGTCATGACTGTAAGCGGGACTCCTCTAGCAGGTAAAGCCTAACTGGGGGGGGGGTTCTGGTATTGGAATGAATATTTAACTCATCATGACAGTAAGGCCTTGCAATGCATGAGCTCTCATTTGTTAAGAGTTTAAACCCACTAAACAAATCTAAGACCTTACTCTCTTCTGTCATTACATCTATTAAGAACTACAAGGACAGGAGGATTATTATCCAAATTTTGTTTTATTTAAAGTCTTGCTGCAGCCTTAAAACAACACAAAATAAATATGTGTATGTTACAAAAAGAATTCCAGTGTCATAGATTACAGAAAAAAGACCAGGGTTTGGTAAGGTGGGGTGGCTGTACTGCTAGGACAGACACACATGAAATGTGTCTCGTTTGGTAGAAACCAGAGATAAGTGGTTAAACTAAGCTTAAATTCACTGCTGTCTCACAGCAGAGGTTGTCCTGTGTTGTAGATCATTCCGAGTGGTTCTATCACTCTCTCTCCCCTCTGCATCAGCAGTGTTGTCATCCTGAGGTCCTCCAAGGAAGAGGCAAATGTGCCAATTTGTACATGACATCATTATCTCCATGGCGATATCATAAATCAGAAATATAATTTATTTACCATTTTACCACTTTCAAATGGTATTCCAGGAATGGAACACAGCCTTTGGCATTTTTAAGGTTAATCAAGATAACCTTAAATGTCTTAAGTACCACGGAAATTGCAGATGTGTCAACAGATGTGGAACAATGCCTTACAGGAGTTCCAGATGATGAATTATTAGGCTGGGTCGCACCACATGACACAGCATCTTAGCTCCTGTCATGTGTATGAACAAAGTCGAAACACATAGCCGAAGACGTCCTGCGGACTTACATCTGTTACTGTATGTCTGACAGTTCAGATTCTGTGCTTCAATGTCACTGTTTTCTGGGAGGGGAAACCTTCCTGTGTTTCAAGTACATCCTGATGGAAAGCTTGCAGACTGTAAACCTAGTTACCCAACATGATGTCAAGTAGGACCGCACAGCTATTCTGCTGTTCTACACTTTAAAACAAGGCTCACAAAAAAACAGAATAAGATTTAACAGCCGTCCATAAATTTGTCCCAGACAAAGGTTTAAGGTTTAAAGTTTCTTTAAAATGTAAAAAAAAATGCCACTGCATCAATCTTCAACAGCACGTTTTTTGACTTGAAAGTCACTGTGGCTAGTATTTGCTCTGTGTGTGCACAGGTACATGCTGGGTCTTGTAGTTTCCACATCCTTCAGTGGCTTTGGCAATGGACCACCGTCCTGCTGTACCCAGATGTACGCAATCATTCCCTTTCACTTAGGCAGGCAAAAGCCAGCAGTAATACTGATCTCCATAGGAGCTGAAGGACAGAGGGGCGTAGCTTCTCCAGCTTTCCTCACAACGGCTCAAATTGAGGTTTCATTACTGCCGCTGCAGGGGGAGAGAGAGGGAGTGAGACACATGGGGATTAATCATCTGCACAGGCAAGATGCAGACACCACATCACTCTGCAGAGTACAAGCAGCATCCAAATTAACATTTAAGGGGAGGAGCCATGGCAAGATGGAGGGGCGGGGCATGAGGAGCATGATGAACAGTTGAATATCCACCTATAAATTAATATCAGTGAAGGGCGAAGCAGGGCAGCATGTTAGCATCTGTCTGGCTGGCTTCTGGTCTGCTCTGAAGATATAGTTTGTGTTGTGCATGTGTGTGTATATGCTGTGTGACAAACTGGCCTGCCTCGGGTGTACCCCAGCCCACGACTGGCCCAACATTTTCTGGGGCCCAAGTGAAATATGATTGACCTCTTTGTCATTTGTCATGTTCCTTCCCATTCTGACAGGCTGATCAGATAGGGGGCCCCCTGGTGGCTGCTGAACCCTAAGCAGTTGCTTGGATCGCTTACGCCTTGGGCAGGCCCTGCTCAAGCCTTTTGCCCTAAATGTAAAAGGACAGTCCTCACTCCCCCAAAGCCACCTGCTCAAGATAAGCGGTTGGAAGGTAGAGGGATTTTCCAGGGCCACTCACTAGGAGTCGGAGTCATCGCCCCTGTTCACAGTATCTGCCTGCAGCGCCACGGTGACCCCATTGGCCGGTTCCCGGAGGGTCACCGACGGCCGCTGGAGGGGCTTGATGAGCAAGCCTTCGCCCTGGCTGACTGGACGCGCTCCCTCGCTCGATGCCGCCGACGGCGCCCTGGATGGGACGGCGGGGCTGCTGTATTCTGACAGCTTCTCCCGGAGGCGGTTCTTCATGTTCTTGTCTGCAAGCGGAGGAGGGTGAGTGATCTTGTTTTTCAGAATTCCTGCGGAAGTACAAAAGGAACGCTGATTTTATTCCAAATCATACGCATCTGGGCTTATACCTGCAGCAGCAAATCCAGCTTTTAACATCCTGGCCTAAATCAGATCAGCCTCCTGATTCGATTTGTTGAATGCCTGGGCGTGCTACTCCCTGCTTATGACGTTATGCTCTTTCTGCATCCTGCAGCGAACCCCCCCCATGAACTGTCGCTCTTACCCTTCCTCTGCTCCGACTGGCGCTTGTTGTCGGGTGGAGGGTCCTCCTGGCCTTGGGGCATCTCTTCCAGGTGGTTTAGTTTGATCTCGGGATGCAACTCCACATTCACCCGCATCTCCACCCGCAGTTTCTCTGGCCTGCTGGGGCTTTCGCTGTCACTGGCTGTTGTCACTTCCACCGGCCAGTTAGGCTGCACATGATTGGATACTACATCCACTGAATCAATAGACGCAGGAAGTAATAGTTAAGTTGGAAAATATGTAAGAATGTCTAATTTAGCGCTTATTCACTGTAAGGACTTATTCTGCAACCTACAGTATGAGCGCAATAAACTTTGGAATCTGATATACTTCAAAAGCTCAATGTTCACTTTTGCAAGATGATGGAATTTGCTATAATTAGGGACAAAGACAGTAAGACTATAGCATTGTGACTGATGCTTTGCGAGTGCTTGCTAATGCTCATTAGAATTATGACCAAGATGGTGCAAGTATTTTATAATGCTCGCTAGCATTATGAACTAAGACTAAGGCTAAGTACTTGTTAATGCTCATTGCTATTATTTTCACGCCCGGCCCGTCCAATCCTCCTGTGTGCCATGCCCCCTCGTTGACTTTGTGCGAAACCCTGATTGTAATCAGCTGTTTTCTGTTTTGCTTGTTTAGTCCTGTGTATTTAAGTCTATGTCCGAGTCAGTTTCTCCAGATCTGTCATTGATGTTCATTACCGTCTGTTCCCGGAGTTGCTTCCTCGCTCCCTGCTCACGCACGGATTGTGACAGATCGTGACAGAACGACAGATCTCAACAAGAAGGTAACCCCCCCTAACCGAGGACGTTTAGCTCGGTCAGGTTGATGAGGTCCTTTACTGGCTGGCCCAGCCGGAGGTCCGAGAAGATCCGGTGGCCTGGGCATTAGCCAGCCAAAGCTGGACATTTTGGAGGAGATGTCCCTCACTGATGACACACATCTTGCGGAGGATTTGCTCAAAATTCTCCAGCTGCTACGAGAGAGGCTGACCGAGCATAGGACCCAGTTGATCGAGCCCAACAACGAATGGTTTCCCGATCCGCCGATGGACCTCCGCGGAGAATCCCAGCCTCCACTGAAAGCCCCGACCCGGAGAAAGAAGAAGCGAGGTCCTGTATTTCCCTTGTTTCCCCATAATAAATCCGTTTGTTTGGATTTCTGGCTACCGGAATTGCTTTCTCGCTCCCCACTCATGCACGGATTGTGACAGATCGTGACAATTATGACCCAGACTGTGTGAGTATTTGTTAATGCTGATTAGCATTTTGACTTTGACTGTGCGAGTACTTATTAATGCTCATCAGCATTATGACCCAGATTGTGTGAGTATTTTGACAGAGACTGTGAGAGTGCTTGTTAATAGTCGTTAGCATTATGACCAAAACTGTGGGAGTGCTCATTTGTACTGCTGAGCAGAGGGTACATTGTAGGCAGTGGGCGAGGGTACAGTACCTTTATGGGTGCTATGTAGGAGCTGGCGCTCATTGTTCTTGGTTGTATCAGAGTTCCACTTGGCCTTCACCTTCCCTTCATCCCCCTCACTGTCAGACGAGTGGGAGGAGGCATAGGAGATGCTGTGCTCATCTGCAGAGAGCTCGCTGTCAGAGTCGGAGTCTAGGGTAGCACAGAGAGCCACTATCAGCAAGCTCCAGAACTGGAGGATGAGTCTGAAATCTAACACTAAAATGCGTGAAACCACAGGCGAACCCTTAACTACCCATGGTCTTACTGTAGGCATTGGAACATGTCTTAGAGACTGAGGGAGGAAGGAAGAGTCCTGGGGATCTCAGGGATCTGTGTTGGAGCTGCAGTAGTGTATGATAGCTAGCCCCCCCCCAAACTCTCGTACCTTCACCCTTGGTACCATTCCGGGGGAAAACAGAGGAGTCCTTGTTGGTGTGTCCAGCTCTGGCTGTGCCCGAGAAGATACCAGGTTTCTGTCCAGACTCATCCCTGCCGAAACAAAGATGGGAAGCTGTGGGAAGGGCCCCAGTAGGATAGGGCAGCCACAGCACAGCCGTCCGAGGCCCAGCAGGCAAGGGCAACCACAGCACAGCTGTTCGAGGCCCAGCAGGCGAGGGCAGTCACGGCGCAGCTGTCCGAGGCCCAGCAGGCGAGGGCAGTCACGGCGCAGCTGTCCGAGGCCCAGCAGGCGAGGGCAGTCACGGCGCAGCTGTTCAAAGCCGGGCAGGCACAACGAAGGTCCATATTTGACAGATACTGTATTCCATGGTAAGGTTGCAACACAGACAACATCACACGGCCAACACTGTGTCCTGGGCTGGGTCTGACGGCAAAGGTTCTAACTTCCAGGCAGTTTTGTTTTGTGTCTCCTGGTTGCCCCCAGCCGCTGTACCCACCCCCTCTAAAACTGCACGCCCTGTTCTCCTGATTCCCAAAGCGGACCCTAATCAAACAGCATGTTTTCAAAAGGTAAAAACAAATCATTTGAATATGGGGCAAAAAATCAGCACAAAATTATGGAGCCCCAGTTTGTAATCTCATATCCCTGGGAAAAAGAAAGGCTGATTTTACCATCTCTGAGGTTAATTCAATTAATGGAGAAATGACAACAGTTATATACAGTGGCTAGGGTTGGGAATCTGAATGAGTAACAAAAACAGAAGCATAAATATATCCAGAGACACGGAACTGTGCCCTGTGACAGCTGGTGCAAGCCACAGACACAAAGCCGCGTTTACCTTGTGTTTGTGCAAGTAAGCACATCATTCTGGCGGTGGCTGGCATAGTGCATGCAGGCACGGCAAGTGTGAAGTGTGGGGTGGTGGGGGGGTGAGGTGGCAGAGTGGGCAGGGCGAGCCCCCATCAACTGGTCACCTGAGAGCATGAGCAAAGTAGCTTTGGCGACTCTTGGCTGACCTGATGCTGGTCTCCATGGATACGGTAGACTCCCCAATAGGTGTGCGGTACAGGGCGCTCTCCTCTGCGAATGTGTTGCAGTTCAGTGAGCGCTGCATGGAGGCATGTAGACAGACGTGTGAGCACCAGACACAAACGTAGGTTTTCTAGATTATTCTTTGACAGCCTTTGCAGAATTAACACAAATCTGTGTCTGCAAAAGTTATAAACCCCTAGTAACCCTCAAGTCTGAATAGTCTAATTATACTAGATATTTCTAAATAAACAGGTCATGACTCTTTGAATCAGCATTTTCTATTAGAATGATCAGGTGTGGCATCATCAGATGATGAAAAAGAATGAAGAGTTAGGAAGAAGAGTCACAACGTACAGTCAGCAGCGAGGCACGAGTGGTGCTCGACTCATCCAGAAGGGCCTTCTTCCCCGCAAAGACCTTCCTGAGACTCTTCCGCACATCTTTGCTGAAGACACAGTAGAAGAGAAAGACGAATATACCCTAAAAGAAAATGGATGGAGGATTATACATCAAAATCTTGAGTCTGAACATATGAGCTGACTCAAACACCCAGATATTTGGACCCACCTCCAGACAGCAGAAAGTGGCGAAGAGGTAATGGAAGACCATGATGTCACTGTTGACCGCCATCAGACCCAGCAGCCAGGTGGCGCTGATGAGCAGCAGCAGCAGGAAGGCACTCCGCAGGGCTGAACTGAGGAAGAGAGGCGTATATAAACGTTCCCTCCCATGGCAGATATATTTTGCATTTCATCTGCAGGTGTGGTCAGGGATCAGCCATCGTGCTGTAGACGAGGGCGTATCTGTGCACTCACATGAAGCCCGACTTTTCTAATGACCGGTGCCTCCGTCCACAAGTTGCCCTCAAAGCCAGCGCGAATATCACCACATTGACCTGAGAATGAAGACATTGTGTACAAGCCTCTGCTCCCCTGATCTGCAGCATGAAGTGTTTATAAGTGTAAGGCCTGAGATCACACGCCTTTAATGTGATGTCTCTGTCTAAATGTATGTCCCGTTTTCCATATTTTAATCAACCGTGCATTTCACCACACATTCTACGACGGAATTTTTTTTTACTTGAACTAATGTGCAAAAAATATGGAGAAGCAGAGAAACAGAGAGACACAAGCTGGTAGCAGAAGGACCCGTAAGGACTCACCAGGACAACCAGAGAGGACGGACCAAACAAACTCCAGATGAGGGTGTCATACAGCGAGAGCCAGCAGAAGTCGGGGTTCCCGTACCCCTGCGGGTCCAACCCCACAGCCAAGCCTGAGACGGGACCAGGAAAAGATGTAGGGCTGAACAATGGTGAGGGAACAGCACCACTACACTGTAAGCGGATCTGACCGTCATTCTGTTACTGGGGGAGGGACGAAAAGAGTCACATTGCCCCAGGAGTTTGGCGCTATACCACGGCCTTTGAGCTCACGCCAGCCAGGAACCTGACACCACGCTGGATTCAATGCCACACATCAGCAGCGGCAATCACCCCGGTCGGGGGGGCTTTCAGAAGAGACGGTATTCTGTGGCACCACATTTCTCACAGAGATCTCTCAGTCTGAGAATGACCACAAGGGTACCGCATTGTGTTTCAGTACAGGCACCAGAAGGTCATGGGTTTGACAACCACAAAGAGATCTGCTGCAGAACTCCACAGTTGATAGTCACAGGACCCACATTTTTCTTTAGTGAGGACTCAAATTTGAAAATTTTTTAACCAAATTTATTTCACAAAAAATAGTGCAGGCACTAAAATTTGCTGACTGGAAGTACAGTGCCAGCAACAGAATTTATAGTCATACGAGCGTGTGGGGTGATTATAGTCATGCAAGCGTGTGGGGTTATTATGGCCCTACGAGCCTGTGGGGTGATTATGGTCATACGAGCGTGTGGGGTGATTATATAGTCATACGAGCGTGTGAGGTGATTATGGTCATACGAGCGTGTGGGGTGATTATGGTCATACGAGGGTGTGGGGTGTTTATGGTCATACGAGCGTGTGGGGTGATTATAGTCATACGAGCGTGTGGGGTGATTATAGTCATACGAGCGTGTGGGATGATTATGGTCATACGAGCGTGTGGGGTTATTAT